ATAAACTTTCCAGCTTCCAGACTGTGAGAAATAAATTCCTGTTGTTTAAGCCACCCAGTCTATAGTTTTTTGTTATAGCAGCCCAAGTGGACCAAGATAGTCATGATGTATTATCCTTTTCATATATTGTTGGAGTTCAATTCGCTAAAGTTTTAAGAACTTTTTTTTTTTTTTTTTTTTTTTTGCGGTACGTGGGCCTCTCACTGTTGTAGCCTCTCCCGTTGCGGAGCACAGGCTCCAGACATGCAGGCTCAGCGGCCATGGCTCACGGGCCTAGCCGTTCCGCGGCATGTGGGATCTTCCCTGACCAGGGCACGAACCCGTGTACCCTGCATCGGCAGGTGGACTCTCAACCACTGCGCCACCAGGGAAGCCTCTTAAGAACTTTTTTGCATTTACTTTATTTATTTTTATAAATTTATTTATTTTTGGCTGCGTTGGGTCTTCGTTGCTGTGTGTGGGCTTTCTCTAGTTGCGGCGAGCAGGAGCTACTCTTTGTTGTGGTGCACGGTCTTCTCATTGTGGTGGCTTCTCTTGTTGCGGAGCATGGGCCCTAGGTGCAGGGGCTTCAGTAGTTGTGGCTTGCAGGCTCTAGAGTGCAGGCTCAGTAGTTGTGGCGCACGGGCTTAGTTGCTCCGCGGCCTGTGGGATCTTCCAGGACCAGGGCTTGAACCCGTGTCTCCTACATTGGCAGGCGGATTATTAACCACTGTGCCACCAGGGAAGCCTGCATTTGCTTTAAATAAAGGATATTGACCTGTATTTTTTTGGGGGGGGGTGCCGTGCTGCCAACACTGCTTGTGGGATCTTAGATCCCTGACCAGGGATTGAACCCGGGGCCACGGCAGTGAGAGTGCCGAGTCCTAACTACTGGACCACCAGGGAACTCCCGATCTGTAGTTTTCTTATGTCTGTGTCTGGTTTTTATATTAGGTTAATGCTGGCCTCATAGAATGAGTTGAGAACTATTCTCTCCCGTTCAATTTTTTGGGAAGAGTTGCGTAGGATTGATATTATTTGCTCCTTAAATGTTTGTTAGAATTTACCAGCAAGATCCTTTGGGCCTGGAGTTTTCCTCATAAGAAAGTTTTTAACTGCAAATTCAATTTACTTAATAATAAAGGGCTTTTCAGGTTATCTTTTTATTTTTGAATGTGCTTTGGTAGTTTGTGTCTTTGAGGGAATGTATCCATTTTGTCTTTGTTGTTGAGTTTACTGGCATAAGGTTGTTCACAATATTCCTTTATTAGTCTTTTAATATCTGTAGAATCTGTAGCAATGTCATTTCTCTCATTTCTAATGTTGATAATTTGCCTTTTCTTTTCCTGATCAGTTTCACTAGAGGTTTATCACTTCTCAAAGATCCAGCTCTTGGTTTCAATGATTTTCTCTACTGATTTTCCTTCCTAGTTCACTGACTTCAGCTCTGATCTTTATTATTTCCTTTCTTCTACTTTGGATTTCATTTCCTTTTCTTTTTAGAATTTCTTAAGGTGGAAGGTGAGGCCACCGATTTGAGACCCTTCTTTTCTAATATAAGCATTTGGTGCTATAGAATTTCCCCAAGGCACTGCTTTAGCACCATCCCACAAATTGTATTTTTTCTTTTTCATTCAGTTCAAAATACTTTCTATTTCCTTTTTCAGTTCTTCTTGGACTCGTGTGTTATTTAGAGGTGTGTTTAGTTTCCAGTAATCACATTTTCCAGAGATGTTTCTGTTATTGATTTCTAATTTTATTCCATTGTGGTCAGGGAATGTTCTTTGTTTTTGAATCCTTTTAAATTTATTAAGACTTGTTTAATGGCCCAGAATATGGTCTAACTTGGTTAATGTTCCATTTGCATTTGAAAAAGATGTATATTTTGCTGCTGTGGGGTGGAGTGGTAAATGTCAATTAAATCTAGGTGGTTGATAGTTTTGTTCAAATCTTCTATATCCCGATTTTCTATGTACTTGTGCTACTAATTAGACATAAACTGTAATTGCAGGTTTGTCTGTTTCTCCTTGAAGTTCTACTAGTTTTTCCTTAGTGTATTTTGAAGTTATGTTATTAGGTGCATAAACATTTAGGGTTTTTATGTCCTCTTGATGAATTTGCCGTCATGTGATACTAATATAGCCACTCCAGCTTTCTTTTGGTTAGTGTGAACACGGTATCTTTTTCCATCCTCTTACTTTTAACTTATTTGTGTCTTTATTCTTAAAAGTGTGTTTCTTATAGGCAGCATAGAGTTGCATTCTTTAATCCCCAAGCTCTGTTCAGGTCCCTGGGATCTTCAAGAACTCTCTAACTCTCCAAGCTACCCATTTCCTTGTAGGAGGCTCTGATAATTAGAGCATCATTCCTCATAATGAGCCCCACCTACCTTCTATCACCTCTCCCCCCACTCCCCAGAGTTACACTCAGTGAATTATTTCCACTTCCCGAGGACAGTTTTTCAGACAACAGGGACATCCAAACCTATGGCAAGTCCTTACGCAGTGCCAGATCCAGGCACACTGGATCAAGCAAGCCATGGAAGATTACCCAAGGCTACCTGAGACGTACCAAATGGTACCTTGGAAAAAGTGGGTGGGAGGGAGGAAATAGAAAACTAATTTGTATAGGGAAGGATTTTATTGACTGAAAAAAACACGTATTTTTCCATTTCCAGAAAGTGTTTCAACTAAGATAGAAAGCACAGGACCAACCTAGAGTGGTCAGCTGCAGCCCAGGTGGGCCCTTTGGGAAGGAGGAATGTGCCCCTGAAAGGATAAGGAACACTTGCTCTATGCCTAGTGTATTGGCTTCCTATTTCTGCTATAACAAATTACCACAAATTTAGTGGCTTAAAACACCACAAATTTGTTCTCTTATAGTTCTGGAAGTCAGAAGTCATGGTGTAGACAGGGATGGGTTCCTTCTGGAGACTTCAGGGGAGAATTCATTTCTTTGCCTTTTTCAGTTTTTAGAGGTCACCTGCATTCCTTGGCTCACAGCCCTTCTTAGCATCACTCCAACCTATTGCTTCCACTATCACAACTCCTACTGCTACTGACGCTGATCCCCCTGCCTCCCTCTTAAAAGTACCCTTGTGATTATACTGGTTGGGCTCACCTGGATAACCAAGGATAATTTCCGTATCTCAGGTCCTTAACCTTAATCACATCTGCAAAGTCCTTTTTATCATGCAATGTAACATATTCACAGGTTCCAGGGATTAGAATGTGGACATCTTTGGGGGGCCATTATTTAGCCAACTACACTCAGTTACAGGTTAGACTAGCTATGGAGAAGGCAAGTTCACCAGGTCCTAGCTCCATCGCGAGGCCTGTCCAGTCTAGATTTATGTGAATTATCTTGCTCTTTGGATGTGAGCTTCTAAACTGTTTGCCTTTGTGTCAGATGACTAGTCCAATCTTCTGTTCAGGATGGCAAGAATGGAGCAGTACAGAACTCATGAGTAAACCCCCTTTCAGGTTGTTTTCTTCAGGGAGAAGCTGAGCAGAAACTTGCTGTAGTAAGTACAGCTTAATCAGCCCAATTCCATCTTTCTAGTTTGTTTATAACCTGACAATCGGTAAAAATAAAGGAAACTAAGAAGGTGGGGTGGGAGGAGTAGTCAGGGGAAGAGAAATTAATGCTTGGGGTATCCAGGCTGTGAGGTTGGAACGCTCACACCCAAACCCACTTTACCAAGATGAGAAATGATGGATGCTCTGAGAGTTTGTCAAGATGATTAATATATTTAGGGAGCATCAGGTCAAAGAACTCATCAGTGACCGGATAGGGCAGGAAGCACCAATCTGGGGTGTGACCACCCCCATCATCTCAGCTCATTTCAAAGACAACTATCCTCATGGTTTCAGGTCATGCAATCTGTTCCAATCCATGAAGTAAAATTAACTGAATTCACAGAAGCCTCAACAATGATGAACTGAGTATTACAGAGTTCCATATGTGTAGGAGAGACAGCCTCAGGGTAGGCCTTTGTTTATTAACTTAAAGTTATTTTTAAAAATCAATATGTAATTGCTGCTTTCCATAAAACTTGAAAATAGGTGAATTAAGGTTGTGAAAATCTAATAAACATGTGTTATAAATAAAATACATTTTTTGAAAATATCCCATGAAGGTTATTCAGTGGTGAATAAGGTTTTAATCCTATCATGTATTTTTCCTCCATTCTTAAGGGTCAGCAAGCATGCTGAGGATTGTAAAGTCCTGGAGGGAAAAAGTCCTGGGACTGTGCATCCTCTAGTTTACTCTATGAATTTAAAAGTTTCTTCAACATGAAAACAAAGGTTCACCTCTTATTAGAGATACAGACATTAGAATACACCCAAAGCTTTTGTTGGCTATAACAGAGTGGTATTTGTAGTTTTAGTACTCCAACATTTTACCTAGAAATTTACTGAATCAAAACAGTTATCTATGAAGGAGAGAGAGGGGGTGGTGGTGGAGGGAGAATGCAGGGGAAGAAGGAGGAAGAGAAGATGGGGGAGAGAAACAACCTTATCTTTTAACTATCTTCACTAATGATTTACCCAATGACCTTCAGCAAATTTCTCAAACATAATGAAAATGTTTATAAATGCCTTCAAAAATGCCTCCATGACACTACATAACCCCTATAATCTTAATATTCTCACGTGACTCCAAAATAGAATGAATATTGTAAAGAATGTACATTTAAGTGAGGCCTGATCTAAGCCTTCTGAACTTTGTGACTTTAGACAGCCTCCATTCCCCTAGTGATTTATGTTGATCCTAAGGTTCCGTCTTATCGGCCTGATGAAATCATGATTTGCAGGTAGAGTCCAATTTCCGAGTTCTCTTTGTTTCCTGGTATTGACATGAATCACGAATTTGTGCTTCTAAACATTCAATTCCTCCTTCCTTTCCCCTTACCATCTGTTGTGCTTAATGAATAAGATTTTTTTTAAATATAGAAGAAACATATGTAAGCTTTTCTAAAACCCATATGCCAAAATAAAAAATTACCACACCAACAGTAGTTAACAGTTTTCATAATTTAATGAAAAAGTATCAGTAAAAAGGTGACATTTGAAAAAAGACCGAGTTTATCTTTGAAAACTGGACTATATAAGACAAAACGAAAAAAAATTTAACAAAGAAGATTAAGAGGTAATACTTCAAACAACAGCAAAATGTAGCAAATACATTTGGGGGCAATTGAAATGTACACAACTGAAGGCTCCTTCATTTACCTAGGAAAATCCTGTAAAAATATTACAACTATATTTCCCTGACTGAAATTATTTTAGTCAATACTCTCCCAATGGCATTACATATGGAATTTGGCTGAAGCACTTTTTCAATGTTTGCTTTTCTTCCTCACTCAGAATTGAAAGGCATGAAAGGATATAGGCTACTGCACTGGCCTCTAACAGGAGTTTATAACATAGCTCCACTACAATTTTATTACCATGAAGGTATCAAATTAATATCGAACCCAGGAGAATGCAAAGAAAAAGCACAGAAACCTAGTGCATAAATAGGAGAACTACTGTTCCTCATTTGGATAATCCATAGCTTTTTCCATTCAAACAAAGCATAGGACACCTATTACACATGCTATGGCATGTTCACAAATGTACACAGGCACAAAAGAAACATTTTGAAGGTGTAGCCAAAGGAGAGGCAAAATACAGAAGTTTTCAGAAAAGGAGGAAGAAATAAAAGCAAAGGAACTCATTAACAAAGCTACAGGCTACAGGAACAAAAGCGGGGGAGAGGAAAACTGCTGAGCTTCCCATATTGACGGAGAGAAGAGGGGCCCCTGCCTTTACTGCAGCTGGGCTGTTTCACCAGGAAGCAACTTAAAATATCTAAAATGGCCTCTTTTGTCTGAAAAGTCTCACTACATGTTCCCAAACTAGAAGAAAGAGAATATTAATTTAAGGCTAAGAAGAAAAGAGAGCAGAGAATTATAGTTGGCTTCACACTTTAAAAACTGTAACATTTTCCTCTTCTTTAAACATGAAGCAGGTATGTTTTATCTCCCACTAATGTAATTATCCTCTTCCTCCCAGAAATTAATAAAGGCTGATAGTTTGGGAACAGAGTATGAGTAACTTCTGAAAAACAGCTCCAGCCCTTTTGTTTGGGAAATTGCCTTGGATTCAAAGTTGGTACAAAGCTAAATTATATCCATGTGTTAAACACATGCTTTCAAATTCTGTTTGACAATAAAAATCTGTTTCAAAATTAAAGCAGGTAAGAATACTTAACCTCTCTGCATTTTACTATATCTTAATTATACCTCAATAAAAATTTTATAAACATTAAAGCAGGTATACAAAAACTGTCAGCCAAACTTATTTAAGTCAAACTTATTTGAAAACAATAACACAAAAACCCTGACCTGATACAAACCCTCCAGAAATGTTCTCACTTTGGGAAAGGCTCTGGGATCCTTCACAAATGCCTAAACTGAGAGGATCAGAGCATTTTCCTTGGAAGTAGTACTTTTGTAAACACTATCCACAAGTTAGCCTTTTACGCTTGTTAGCTGGGTGAAATAGTTACAAGTGCGTCCCCAACAAGCAAGTCTAGGAACAGGCACTGGACACTTATAAGCATTAGGTGTATTGACTTGGTAAGTTAAGATACTGTGAAAGGAACTCAACCTTGTTCAGAGCAAAGGAAGAGAGTAGTGAGTTTGACAGTATCTGAGATATTGGTCCCTGGTCTCTCCCTAAAGAGGGTTTCCAGGTACCAGTGGAAACTTCTTACAGACAGGAGCTCTGGAAGTCACATGCTGTAGCTTCAAAAGATAAGTAGTTTTAGTGTCTGATAATCATGATCTCCTGCAAATCAAGGACAATGCAAGGACTCTTAATACATATGTGTTAATATAATTGGAAAGCTGCCCCAAAGTATTTACTGAGCAAATACTCTGGTCCCAGCTGTTCTCACTAGCCTCTGGCAAAAAAACAAAACAAAACAAACCCCTAAACTTTTGGACAATATGTAATTTCTATGATGTGCTCGTGAAAATTGGACTTGAAACTGGTTCAAAAACTGCAAGCCAATTTACTGTGGAAAAATTTTATCCTTTTCACTACAATTCCTCCTAACATATACTAGAATCCTTTTGGTGTATGGGTTTTCCCCAATATATGAGGCAAAGGCAAAGATGGAGTTTTTCGTGGAATTTCTAATCACCTATGCATTGAACTGTGGGAAAGGGGATATGTCTTGCTTTTACCATGGCAATCCCGTCTGGAGTCATGGGGAGGATTTTCCCTGTCTGAGCTATCTCTCTTTACCCTAACTTTCTCTTTATTCCCATCACTTTCTGCTTCTGAATCACTCAGCTCCAAATCTGGGCAATACCCGTCATTTTCCTGATATGGAGCTCTCCCTGCAGACCGCCTGACAAACTGCCTGCCCCAGAGCTGCTCCTTGGGGTTAGTATTCTTGGTTGGCTTCACATAGCACGGGAGGTCCTCTGTGGTCCTCACCCACCTGTTGGTGGCCTCCTTAAAGGACCTGCTGAAGTGTTCCATGGTAGATTTTCTAAAGCTGCCCTGACTGCCCAAGTGGGAGCTGAGCATGGGCTCCTGGTCACAGAACATCTCACTTGAGCTGTCTTTTTGGGTGGCATCCCCAGACCAGCTGCCCTCCAGGCCATTGGATTTGGCAAACTTGGAGTTAGGCTGACTTTTCCCATTCCCAATGGAAGACTGTCCATGCAGGGCAGCCTGAAGGACCAGAGGCTTTCCCAGAGACTGCCCATGATAGAACTCTGGAGATGGAGTTATCCAAGCAGGACTGGGATCCTTTGCTTCACTCCTAGCATGGCTGAGACTGGCCGGCAAACAGTTATTCTTGCTCTCTAGTGGATACCTTGGGTATGACTTCATTCTCATTTCTAGTGATTCCTGAGCCACCTGCATGCTCCTCATATTGCAAACAGGGGAGCTGCCGTCAGGAGAGAGAGGTCCATGATCAGGCTCTGTGGAGCTGTTTCTGCAGTCTTCTGGGGCTGATTTGGGCATTTTTAACTTTAAGGTAATTCTTGGTGGTGGGTAAAACAATGAATTTTCTAGTGCATTTGTCAAAGGAAGTCCTAAGATGAAAGAAAGATTCATTTTAAATGACAGAGTACATTTTCATGCAAATGGACAAAACAAGAAAGTGGGGGCAGCAATACTCCTAATCAGACAAAGCATACTTTAAAACAAAGGCTATAACAAAGACAAAGAAGGGTGTTATATAATGATAAAGGGAGCAATACAAGAGGAGGGTATTACATTCATTAACACATATGTACCCAATACAGGAGCAACTAACTATATAAAGCAAATACTAAAAGATATAAAGAGACAAATTGACAATAATACAATAATAGTAGGAGACTTTAACCCTACTTACATTAATGGACAGATCACCCAGGTAGAAAGTCAATAGGCAACAGTGGTCTTAAATGACACAATAGACCAGTTGGACTTAATAGATATCTATAGGGTATTACATCCAAAACCAGCAGAATACACATTCTTTTCAAGTGCACATGGGATGTTCTCCAGGATAGATCACATGCTAAGCCACAAAACAAGTCTTAACAAATTTAAGAGGAGAGAAATTATATCAAACATTTTTTCCAACCACAATGGTATGAAACGAGAAATCAATTATAGAAAGAAAAAAGTGAAAATAAACACGTAGAGACTAAACAACATGCTACTAAAAAAACCAATGGGTCAATGATGAAATCAAAGAGATCAGAAAATACCTTGAGACAAATGAAAATGCAAACACAACTTTCCAAAATCCATGGGATGCAACAAAAGCAGCTCTAAGAGGGAAGTTTAGAGTGATACAGGCCTTCCTCAAGAAACAAGAAAAAAATCTCAAGTAAACATCCTAACCTACCACATGAAGGTATTAGAAAAAGAACAAACAAAGCCCAAAGTCAGCAGAAGGAAGGGAATAAAGATCAGAGAAGAAATAAATAAAATAGAGATTTAAAAAACCCAATAGAAAAGATCAATGAAACCAAGAGATGTTTTTTTGAAAAGATAAAATTAATAAACCTTTAGCCAGGCTCACCAAGAAGAAAAGAGAAAGGACCCAAATAAACAAAATAGGAAAGGAAAGAGAAGAAATAACAGCAGATACTACAGAGATACAAAAAAAATCATAAGAGAATACTATGAATGGTTACATGCCAACAAATTGGACAACCTAGAAGAAATGGACAAATTTCAAGAAACACACAACCTGCCAAGATTGAATTGAGAAGAAACAGACAATTTGAACAGACTGATCACTAGTAGTGAAATTGAATTTATAATTTAAACAAACTCCCAGCAAACAAAAGTCTTGGACCAGACGGCTTCACAGGGGAATTCTACCAAACATATAAAGAAGAACTGAGACCTATCTTTCTCAAACTAGTCCAAATAATCGAAGAGGATGGAACATTCCCAAATTCATTCTGCAAGGCCACCACTACCCTGATACCAAAACCAAAGACACTACAGAAAAAGAAAATTACATGCCAATACCTTTGATGAATACAGATGCAAAAATCCTCAACAAAATATTAGCAAACTGAATCCAACCACATATAAAAAGGATCATACACCATGATAAAGTTGGATTTATTCCAGGGACATAAGGATGGCTCAACATTTGCAAATCAATCAATGTGATACATCATATTAACAAAAGGAAGGATAGAAAGCACATGATCATCTCAATAGATGCAGAAAAAGCATTTGACAAAATTCAACATCCATTCATGATAAAAACTCTCATCAAAGTTGGTACAGAGGGAACATAGCTCAACATAATGAAGACCATTTATGCTAAACCCACAGCCAACATCATACTCAATGGTGAAAAGCTGAAAGCCTTTCCTCTAACTTCAGGAACAAGACAAGGATGCCCAATCTCACCACTTCTATTTATCATAGTACTGGAAGTCCTAGCCACAGCAATCAGACAAGAAAAAGAAATAAAAAGCATCCAAATTAGAATGGAAGAGAAAACTGTCACTATTTGCAGATGACATAATTCTTTATATAGAAAACCCTAAAGTCTTCACCCAAAAACTATTAGAATTAAAAAATCCAGCAAAGCTGCAGGATACAAGATTAATATACACAAATCTGTTGCATTTCTATACACTAATAATGAACTATTATTTCTCAGAAAGTAAAAAAAAATCCCAACGGGCAGCATTTGTTCCCTAAGGGTCCATACTGAACACTCATAGCTCCCATCTCTATCAGGGCCTGCCACCTGTTGCTGCCACAAGCAGTTATGGGGCTGGGTCCCACTAATCAGAAGCCACATGGTCTAGGGGCCAATTTCCTTGGCACCATGGAGGCTCTTCCTGCTGTCCTTTGGTTCTTCTTGTCTTGTCCATCATGGTGCTCTTGTGGCTGAGCAGCCCTGCTGTCTCCTGCTACACCATTTTGCTGTGACCTGTGATACTCACAACTGACCACGAGCCTTTGATACCTACCTGACACCTTATTTCTGGGTGCCTCTCTTGCTCTATAGCTGGCCCTTGGCAGAAGCTGGCTTCTGCACACCCTGCCCAGTGACCCCTGGTTGCCCAGGCTCTGCCACTGACCTCTGTGTTAAATGAGGCACAGGGAGGTTACAAATGTCTCTGAATACGACTGTCATTATTCCAGCCAAGCTCCCATGCTTAGAGCACTGTAATTATGCTCACTTGTTTCTCTTACCAAGTAGGCAGAATTCTCTGAAGGAATTCTGTCTTGCTGACTGCTCTGTCTTATAGCTCAGCTCTTAGTCCATAGGAGGTGCTCAAAAAATATCAGTGAATAAATGAAGAGACAAGAGCCCAGATCTCCTAACTTCTGGCTAAGGATCTGTTATAACAGACAGATTAAGTTAAGTAACCCTGGAATTAAATGTTTTCTGGAAACTAGGATTAGATCCTATCCTACTGACTTCTTTTTTTTTTTATCCTACTGACTTCTAAATGAATTCAATGAGTTTAGAATAATTTCACAGCTCCAACTAATAGCCTCAAATATCTGTCTGGGACCTAGGTTATCTGTCCTAGGCCTGCCACTCCATCAACCCCACCCCGGGATTTCTTGCCTCATGAGTCAACAGTGAAATGGGCCATGTTATATCAGGGCTGGACTAGAAGAAATGAATTTAAAAGATTTTTAAGTTAAACAATTGATATAAAATTTATACAGGTTACCTGCAGCAATTTCCTGGTTAGCAAGCTGGACTTGCAAACTGAAGATCTGTTCCTGTATTTTGGTTTGTGACAGTTTCAGCTTCTCTCGCCTGGTTATCATGTAGCACAGGTTTCGGACCTGAAAGCCCAACCCCCAGCAAATAAGAGATTTTTGTCATGTTACACAAACCTGACATTTGAAATTGTTTAGCTAAAATTAAGACAACTGAAGTCAGGTGGGGTTGGGGGGTGGTGGGCAGGTGAGGAGAGAAGACAGACCCTAAAAGCTGTATAACGAGAGCCACTCCACAGGAAGTCACATAGCATGGTCAGTCGTGGGATCATGGTTCCTGTATCAATCAGTAGCACAAGCAAAATGCTCCAAAGCCACCTTCTGAAGTCTACTCTCCCTGTGGTATCATGGGGTTGATATTTATCTGCATAGCCAGGCTGGGAAAACTGAATGATGACTTAACATTTTAGCTTTCCCTTTAGATCCCTGAGTAAATGGTGGCAATGCTGGATCCAGTAAAGTTTTCTAATGAGTGCTGGATCAGCAGGATAAAGGTCTTATGGGAAGACTGGAAGTGGCGTTTTTGCTCACACTTTCAGCTCAGCCAAGTCTCCACAGCCACAAGGGTGAAATCCTCACCCTCTCATGCTCCTTCATCTGGACAAATTACTCAACCTTTCTGTTGCCCCAGTTTATTCATCTGTAAATAGGGATAATAATTGTACCTTCTTCATAGGCATGTTAGGATTATATGAGTTAATATTTATAAAATGCTTAGAACAGTGGTGCCACATAGTAAGTGCTATATATGTGTGAGTTAAATTTTAAAAAGTGAACCAAATCTATTAGTTCCCCTCCAAATTCTGGTAGCAGAGAAAAAAACAAGCCACCTCTATAATTATACTTGATTATAAGATTCTCTAGGGTAAACACAGGGCCTAACTTATCTTTGAACCCCTACAGTACCTAATTTAGTAGATACCTGATTATATATATATATATATATATATATACATATATATATATATATATATGTATATATATAGCTAAATTGAATTATCTGGCACAGAGGCTCTCAACCAGGGGCAATTTTGACCCCCAGAGGGCATTTGGTAATTTGGGAACATTTTTGGTTCTCACAACTGGGCATGTGGCGGTTTGCTACTAGCATCCAGTGAGTAGAGCCAGGGATGCTGCTAAACATCTTACAGTGTTCCCCACAACAAAGGACAGTCCCCTACAACAAAGAACTATCCAGCCCCAAATGTCAATAGTGCCGAGTTTAAGAAACTCTGATCTGGTGCTTTCCTAAATAAAATTCATTCTTTCTTCAGCCTGTAGTCTCATAAGTGTGTCAGTACAATATAGCTGAGCCAATTTAGGTTCCACAGTGAATAAAAAGTAAACCAAATGAAAATTTATTTCAAATTTAAGGTTCATAGAGCATCTAAGTGAGGAAGCTTCCATTCTCTGATGTGTCTACCAGAATTTTAACTAAGCCCAATGTTTGGGGCCACGATGAAATCAGAAGATAAGCAAGGACACAGAAGCTTACACTATAAATGTAAATGAGCTGTGTTCTTTTAAAAACTGGAAGTGGGGCCTCCATTTCTATGCAGACCAAGATCTACACACTAGTCACAGTTGGTCACCTTACCCTCTCTAGGTCTTGCCGTAGGTGCATAAACATTCTCATGCGAGTGTGAATACTCTCCTCTTTTGGCTGCACCAGACCATTTTCTTCATCCTCTTTGGGAGGAAATAATGGCTTATTGAAGTTACTTTTCCGCTTTAGTTTCCAGTAGTTATAGATAAAGTCCACAGCTAGCGTGGGCAGCCCCAGCTCTGCGGCCACATCTTCCACACGGACCAGGGAATAGAACTCCTCCTCCAGCTCCCGGAGCTTCTGTGCCCGCACGCTGGTCTTCTCGCTTTTGGTCTGGCCCTGCTCTGAAGCCCTGTGTAGAGGGTACTCGGCCTCCCCGAGCTTCTGCCTGTTTTGGCTGTGCTTGAGGCAGTATGACTTGAACTTTACTTCATCCCCATCATCTAGGATGGTCTTCATTTCTAGGCTGTGCTCGAAGGCACAGGTGACGTGGAAGGCAGTGATGCAGCTTTTCACTGAGCACTGTGGGAAGAAAAGATGTGTTAAGGCAGCAGGGCTGTGGGGGGAAAGGGGAAGCCCTATACGCCTGGGCCTAAACTGAGAGCTCATAGGAAGCAAAGAAAAGACAGGGAGAAAGTTGGTCTTAAACTGACCATGATGGACACTTTACAAGTAACCCAGGAAATCTGCTCTTATAGAAAACAGTAAAAACAGAGGCAAAAAAATGTTTTTTTCAAACTCTCCTTTAAATTTTAGCTCAAGCATTAAGTTTTTCCGAGAATTCTTCTTTGGCCCCTGTAAAGTCATGCTGTACTTTTTCTGTGACCCCAATATCACTTTATTATATGCTTCTACAATGGTCCTTTTCACACTGTACCTATAGCATAATAAATGTAAAATCCCTGGCCATGGCTCTTAACGACAGAAGCTGTGTCATTCATCTTTGCATTACCATCAACTATTGAACAAGGAAGTACTCAAGAAATGCTTCTGAACAATCGAAAGAAAAACAAAATCAATATTATTGCCAGAGCAGCTATTGGTTCTAAAAAAGGCCACAGGAACTCCAATATCTAAGTAACCTAACTTCTTGAAATTGGTCTTATAGAGATGTGCTGTCCAACATGGTAGCCAGAGTAGCCAACTGACCACAAGCAGCTATTAAAATTAAAATTACATACAATTAAAAATTCAATTCCTCAGTCACACTAGCCACATTTCAACCATACTGGACAGCACAGATTTCCATCACATCATAGAAAGTTCTGTTGGACAGTATGGTTACAGACAATCTGGAATTAAGTTTATAATATTCTGCCATTCATAGATGCAACACATTTGTTAAGTATCACTATGTGGCATGCACTGAGGACTCACAGGGAGGCAGAGAGAACCTGGCCCATGATTGCTGGACTCTTGTGCTTCAGTTAGTCTCAATTACCATTTGTTATGGTTATGTTACAGTTTTCCTTCCAAAGATTTAAAATGCATGTGTGTGTTTATATTTTTATGCAAAGGAAGGAGGGAAAGCAATGGAGGATTTGTTTCAAAAGATATAGTGGGAATTCCCATGGTTAAACCCAAGTCTCAAATCTTTTGGAAGCTTGCATCTGAAGGGCAGACTGCTCAATATGTTGGGTTTTTGATAACTAAACATAGAGGATGACCTTGTATATGAATAAAGACTAAAAAAATGCAAAACCTGATAGGTCTCTTTATAGATTGAGAAATTCAACACTTAAGAGAATGCTGGCAACCATCAAAGCTTTAATGGGGGCAGATTCCATTTAATCTAATTTCACAGGATAAAGAATTCCAGGGATGGAAAACAATTCAAAGATCATCTTATCCAACCTCACATGTATTATTGCTTGTACTTCCTGTAAAGTACCTGATATTCTACCTACACTGCTCCCTGCCCTCAACTCCTTCCACTTTTCAGTTAAGTGGTACTCTAGCCACTTACTGTATTCCTAAAACAGCCCACCCCAACTTAGAGCAACTGGAAGAGTCTGTTACATTACATCCAAGTTTGTATTCTTAAAAATTCTATGTATTTGAAAAGCCTCATGAAAATGAGGATGATGAGAGCCCCAAACTATACTTTCATCTGGGTACCTTTGGTTATCCCTTGAATAAGAAACTAGCTGGTCATTTAAAACACAAGTAGCAAAAGGCACTCTTTAGCAAAAGATTAAAGGTGTTGGGCAAAGTGCTCTTCTGCTGTCTAATAACTGACAAAAATATGGGAAGAGAAAGCAAAAGGATTGTTTTCTATTCAAGGAGATGAGTGTGTGACATAAAACTACTACTAATGGGAAGCTAAAAACAGATCACCTCTCTCAGGTCAAATTTATAGAATGTAGAGACATAAATATAAATTACTCCAAATAAAAAGACAATACACGAATAAGAATAAAATCCATCTAGTTTCAAAAAAAGGTCATTCTATGATATTTATAGCTAGAAGTCCATATACCTTGGTGGTAGAGAAATGCTAACCAAATAACTTAATTTTTTTCCCAAAAACATATATTTGGCACATTCTGTTAAACAAAATGCTTTTGTATATATCTCATTTCTACTGTAATCACTTAAGGTGACAGGGGAGGTTTTATTATGCCCATTTTAAAAGAACAGCTTTATTGAGATATAATTTACATACCACAAAACTCACCAATTTTAAGTATACATTTCAATGTTTTTAGCATATTAACAGAGTTGTGCAACCATCACTACTACATAATTCCAATACATTTTTATCACCCCCCAAAAGAAATCTCATGCCTATTTGCCACTCCCTGTTCCCAATCCCAGCCCCAAGCAACCACTAATCCACTTTGTGTCTCTATAGAAATGCCTATTCTGGACATTTCACATAAGTGGAATCATATGTGACAGTTTATATCTGGCTTCATTCACTTAGCACGTTTTCAAGGTTCATCCATGTTGTAGCATGTATCAGAATTTCATTCTTTTTAAAATATGGCCAAATAATATTCCATTACATTGGATATACCATATTTGTTTATCCATTCTTCAGCTGATGGACATTTGGGCTATTTTTACTTTTTAGCTATTATGAAATAATGCTGCTATGAATATTTGTGTACAAGTTTTTGTGCAGACATGTTTTCATTTCTCTTTGGTAATGTGCAATAAAGGATTAACCTTGCCAAAGAAAGGCTTGGCCCTCTGCCTCTAGCTCCTAAGAGGTAACCTCTAAACGCTTGGAATGTCCTGCCTGATAAGAGTGTCTTTATTTACCTGGGGGCCTTGGGCCATGTCAGATAGTCTATGCTAACAATGTGATTTATGGTGGAAGCTCTGAGCCATGTGGTATCAGCCTGACCTCTGGAGGGACTGGAGACTAAGGCCAGCCATGCAGGTGGTCAGCCACGTCTATGTGACCAACTCCTAATAAAATCTCTACACCAAGACTTAGGTGGCTTTGCTGGTTGGCAGTACTCTGTGTATATTATCATACACCAATGCTGAAAGAAATAAGCACTGTCCACAAGATTCCACTTAGAGAGGAAACTGGAAGCTCCATGCCTGGTCTCTCCTGGACCCTGCCCTATGTGCCTCTTCCCTTTGCTGATTTTAATCTGTATTCTTTCACTGTAATAAACTATGACCATGAGTATAATGGTTTTTTGAGTTCTGTGAGTCCTTCTAGTGAATTATTGAACCTGAGAGTGGTCTTGGGGACCTCTAACTTGTAGGTATATACTTAGAAGTGGAATTACTAAGACATACAGTAACTCTATGCCTAACTTTTGGAAGAATTGCCAAACTGTTTTCCACAGTGGCTGTGCATTTTACATTCCCACCAGCAAGGCATAAGAGTTCTAATTTCTACACCTTCTTGCCAATAATTGTTATTGCCTGCCTTTTTAAATTATTACCACCCTAGTGGGTATGAAGTAGTATCTCACTATGGTTTATTTACTTTTAAAGGGGGAAAAAGAAATAATTTTCTACCTATTCTTCAGAAATTATAGAAGAGAAATGAGTTTTTGAAATACTTTCATTAGAGGGAAAATGCTACCCTTATATGTTCACATTTGTAAGGGGAGTTGGAGTTTCTGTGGGATGAGAACTGGATTAGATAGGATGGTTGGAATAAAAGTCTTTGAAAAAGAACACCAGAGACTGATTTAGGAATTAAATTGTTTCTTGCCTCTTTAAGGAAATATTTTGTCACCCCCCCGAAAATAAAATAGTGTGTCCTCCTCAAAAGCAGATGACACCTGCGTTGAACACCAAGGGCCTGGTGCATGTGTCCTCAGCAGTTCTTATCCTGCTGCAGGACAGTGTCCATTTGGTTGCCCTTAATCCCCAACAATCTGTGAACAGACAAATGGGTGATATCAGAGCAATTTTCTCAAAACTTGGTCACTGAAACCATGTCATAAATGATTCAAAGTCAGCCCACAAAACCTATTTAGCCATTATGTACTTAAACTCTAGCACCAACGGTGGCCACCAGCCCTTCTGATCTCTCATCCCTAAGGGTCTGCAAGGTCTGAGGGGAGATGTCACTTCAGTGTTATTTAACTTTTCTCATGTTTATATCTGGTCTCCCTTAATAGACTATAAACACCTGAAGGCAAGGACCAGAAATATCTTAGAATAGGAACAATTTGTACTCACAAATAAAATTTGGAATATATGAGAAAAATATTAAGGTGCTTTCCCTCTTAATTTTTTTTGATGCCCTTTAATCTTAACATTTAATTTCCATCTCTACTAGTACCACCTTTAATAGTTACTGAGTAGACGTACTTGCATTTCCCCACTTGGCAAAGATTTTCATTTGTTTTAAAAAAGTTCACTTCCCTCATAGTCAAGCTCATATTAGCCTAACAGTAAACTCATGGTGGCCCACCAATTTATTCTGACTTCACTAAACATGCATGTAACTCCAGACATGACCACATTCCTCTACTGTCGAAAGGGGCACCTACTCCAGCACCAAATGTTTAATGATTCTATTCAGTTTGGCTGGATGAATGCTAGGGCTTTCCATCAACAAAGTCAGACTGACTCCAGGGAATAATATGAACAATAACAACAAGTACAAATACTAGTACCACTAATATTTACTGAGTATTTAGTATCTGTTAGGCACTGTGTTAAGCTCTTCACCACATTATTAAGTAGGTACTATTTTATCATCTCCATTTATAGATGTGGAAACTGAGGAACAGATTTGGCAGGTAACTTTCTCAAGATTACATAACAAACAAGAGATGGAACCAGGATTTGGACCCCAGGAATCTGGCTCCAAAGGCTGTATTTTTAACCACTGTTCTTCCTTTTTTCTCAGGGAAGGCCTATAACATCTGGATCTAGGTTGAATGGGGCTTGAACATAAGATATATAAGGACCCTATAGGAATTCTGGAAAGGTGGCAGAGGGACTGTGTCCAGGGTTTAAGCAAAATTCAGAGCTGTCTGGGGCATCTGTTTTGAACCCAGTCTTTAGGATCTGTTCCACGATTATCAGAAACCTTCATCCTCAGGAGAAAGGTTCTAGCTCCCAGATATGGAGGCTGTAGATATTGGCTAGTCTAGACCCCAAAACCACCAGTGTTAGATTCTATCCTTGCCGAATGAATGTTCCCAAATCAAAGGAAGAGGAGAGATGTGGGTATTCCCCACTGCTGGGAGATAGGAAGAATGAACACAATTCACAGTTAAGAAAATTCCATAAAGAGTTTATAAAACAAAATACCTGAGATGTGTTACTAATCACAAATACCCTTAAATAAACCTCTGACAAACAAAGATGCTAATAAAACTTGACCCCCACCTATGTTCTGCTTATACTAACAGAGTGGGCTTTGTTTTCCACGGTTCACACCTAGTTTTCCTGTGGAAAAAGAGACCAAAACCCTTTTTTCCTTTTAAACCACCACTAAGTTAATTTCAAACCAATTAGTAATTTAGAATCTTGTTCCCTGTATGGGGATCAAAAACAGTAAATTAGTATAGGCAGAACATAGGTGGAGAAAAATACAGCCACACTTCACAAGGTCACCTGAAGTTCACTCCCCCTCACTTGGGGGGAAGATCTTTAATGCAGCCTGGCACTCACAGTGTACTTCCCGAAACCAAAAAACTATTTCACACCTCTTCTCTCCCCACACCTTGAGACTTCACCCACATCCTCACTCTCAGCTGATGATCCTGTTTCCTATCTCACTGAGGAAATTACAACAATCAAAAAGAGCACTCTGGGGACTTCCTGGTGGTCTAGTGAGTAAGACTCCTCGCTCTCAATGCAGGGGGCCCGGGTTTGATCTCTGGTTGGAGAACTGGATCTCGCATGTGTGCCACAACTACGAGTTCACATGCTGCAACTAAGAAGTCCGCATGCCACAACTAAGAGTTCACATGCCACAATTAAGAAGTCCGCATGCCACAACTAAGAAGTCCACATGCCGCAATGAAGATCCCACGTGCTGCAACTAAGACGTGGAGCAGCCTAAATAAATAAATAAGTAGGGCTTCCCTGGTGGCACAGTGGTTAAGAATCTACCTGCCAATGTAGGGTATGTGGGCTCGAGCCCTGGTCCAGGAAGATCTCACACGCCACGGAGCAACTAAGCCTATGCACCACAACTACTGAGCCTGCGCTCTAGAGCCCATGAGCCACAACTACTGAGCCCATGGGCCACAATTACTGGAGCCCACACGCCTAGAGCCTGTGCCCCGCAACAAGAGAAGCCACCGCAATGAGAAGCCCGTGCACCGCAACAAAGAGTAGCCCTCGCTCACCACAACTAGAGAAAAGCCCACGTGCAGCAACAAAGACCCAATGCAGCCAAAAATTTAAAAAATAAAATAAATAAATAATTTTTTTTAAATTAAAAAAATAAAACAAAACAATAAGAGCAAGGATTCTGGGAAAATGGCAGAGTAGGAGGCACCAGGAATCTGTTTAAAAAAAAAAAAAAAAGAGCACTCTGCAGATTCCCAGCAGCACACCTATCTAATACTGTACCTACACACTCTGCCTTCAAGCCTGTTACCCGGGAAGAACAATCTGTGCTCTTACCTGAAGCCGCCCCTCTCTCACCCTCTTTACCCCACCCTCTCTCAGCTACTGAAAAACCTTGCTCCAGCAGTTTTTCCTCTTCATGGGTCACTCTCTTTGCATGCATACTGTTATGTTCTATATGTTAACAAGTATACATACAATAGTCTCTCAGTATCCTCAGGGGATTGGCTCCAGACTTCCTGTGGATACCAAAATCCACAGATGCTCAAATCCCTTATATAAAATGGCATAGTATTTGCATGTAACCTTCGTGCATCCTCCCGTACTTTAAATCATCTCTAGATTATTTATAAAACCTAATACAACGCAAATGCTATGTAATAGTTGCCTGTGCAAGGCAAATTCAAGTTTTGCTTTTGGGAACTTTCTGGAATTTTTTTCCAAATATTTTCAATCTGCAATTGGTTGAATCTTCAGATGCAGAACCTGCGGATACAGAGGGCTGACTGTACATACTTGTTATTTCTTCCATCTTAAAGAGCGGACTTCTTTCCCTCACTTTTCCGGACTGTTCCTACTCCATTTCTTTGCCCTGACCCTTGGCAATGTAGCTTTTGCCATCATCACTCCACCTAAACTGCTCATCCAGATTACCAATAATCACATTGCTAAATTCAGGGGTCAATTTGTAGTCCTCGTCTTACTCAAGCAGTATTTTTACATCACTGATCTTTCCCCTCTCCTTGAAACGCTTTCTTTCCTTGATTTCTAGGCTACTATGCTCTCTTGGTTTTCCTCCTGTCTCCCTGGTGACTTCTCAGTCTCCTCTGCTATCTCTCCCTACTCTCCTGACTACTTAACACTGGAATGCTGCAAGGCCCAGTGCTTGGTACTGTTCTCCTCTCTATCTACACTCCCTCACTCAGTGATCTTACCCAGTCCAAGCTAAAAGATACCTATATGACAATGACTCCCAAATTTATGTCTTCAGTCCAAAACTTCCTCCCAAACTCCAAACTCGCATAGACAACTGTCGGTTTAATATTTCCACTAGGATATCTGGTAGACATCTCAAACTTAAATGTTTAAAACTGAACTCATGATGATCTTTCCGCCCACATCTCTTCTACTTGCAGATTTTTCCATTCAGTTTATGGCAACTTTACCCTTCTCCCTGTTCAGGCCAAAACCTGGAAGCCTCCCCAACTCCTATCTTTCTCTCACACCTCATACCCGATCCACAGTTAATCCTCTTGGCTCTACTTTCAATATTCATCCAGAACCCAACCACTTTTTTTTTTTTTTTTTTTTTTTTTTTTTTGCGGTACGCAGGCCTCTCACCGCTGTGGCCTCTCCCGCCGCGGAGCACAGGCTCCGGACGCGCAGGCTCAGCGGCCATGGCTCACGGGCCCAGCCGCTCCACGGCATGTGGGATCTTCCCGGACCGGGCCACGAACCCGTGTCCCCTGCATCGGCAGGCGGACTCTCAACCACTGCGCCACCAGGGAAGCCCTGGAACCCAACCACTTTTCACCACCTCCAGGGCTACCACTCCAGACAAAGCCACCACTGCCATCTCTCAAGGATTATCGTAATAGCCTCCTAATTGCTTTTCTCATTCCTAACCTTCCCTCCTCACAGTCTGCTCCAAATAAGCAGCCAGAGTGCCTATTTTTGTTTTAACCTTCTAGTATGGAAAACCCTACATAATAGCATAGAGAATACTATATTAAACCCTATATACCCATTATACAGACTCAATAATTATTAATGTATGACCCATCTTGATTCATCTTTAACCCCCATAGTACCCTGCCCTCCAGATTATTTTGAAGCAAATCTTAGACATCATTCCATAGAGTGATCCCTTAAAAATATAAATCAAATCATTTTACTTATCTGCTCAAAACCTGCTAATGGCTCCCCCTTTAAACTCTGAGTAAAAACAAAAGATCTTTTTTTAAAAAAAAAATCTTTTGGCCATGCCACGTGGCATCTGGGATCTTAGTTCTCTGACCAGGGATCGAACCAGTGCCCTCTGCATTGGAAGCGCGGAGTTTTAACCACTGGACCGCCAGGGAAGTCCCAAAACAAAAGATCTTATAAGGGCCCTGGAAACCCTTCACCATGGGCTTGCAAACTATGGCCCACAGACCAAATGCAGCCAGATACCTGTTTTTATGTGGCCCATGAGCTAAGAATGGGAGCTAAAAATGGTTTTTACATTTTTTAAATGGTGGAAAACAATCAAAAGAAAAAGAATATTTTATGACATATAAAATAAATTTAGAGTCCATAAATAAGCAAATGAGCATGGCTATATTCCAGTAAAGCTTTAAGTATCGTCTATGGCCACCTTTGTGCTACAAAGGCAGAATTGAGTAGTCGTGACAGAGACCATATGGCCTGCAAAGCCTAAAATATTTACTATCTGGCCCTGTATAGAAAATAATTGCCAACCCCTGCCCTAACCAATCAGGTCCCTGTGTAATCTCTCTGATATTCTCTTCTCACACACTCCATTCCATTCTCATTGGCCTCTTTCCTATCTCTCGGACAAGCCAAACACACTCCTATCCCTGGGCCTTTGCACTGGCTGATCCCTCTGCCTGGAACATTTTTACCCCAAATATCTGCATTGTCTCCTCTCACCTTCAAGTCTTCGCTCAAATGCCACAGCTACGGTGAGTCCTACTCTTACCACTCTATTTAAATTTGCAATGTATGCCTCCTGCCCCACAATCCCCATCTTCTTACCATACTCCACATTTTTCCTTTCCAGAGCACTTACCATCTTCTAACATGATACTTAGTATCTATTGCTTATCATTGATTTCTCCCAAACCAAAATGTAAGTTCCATGGTGCAAAGTTCTTTGTTGGTCCACTGATAAATCCAAAGTGCCTAGAACAGTGCCTGGCACACAATTAGGCACTCAAATATTTGTTGAATAAGTGAAATTCCTTATAATCAAAATTTTAAGAGACTTTTATGACCACCACAGCAGCATACATCTCCACTTCATTGATCCATGTATCAACACATGATAATTGAAGCATGGCAGGTACCTCACAGAAGAAATTCTCCACCTGATATGGACCACAGTGAGGTAACAAGAAGGTCAACACTATTTGCACCAAAGAGTTGCTGAAACCTGTTACCCAAGCCACTGCTGCCAGTTGTTGGCATAGCCAAGAGTGCATGATAACTGTGTAATGGAGAGGCTGGCAGATAGCTACATAACGACCAAAGGCCATTACTGAAAGAAGTACACATTCAGTGGATCCTAAACTAAGGAATATGAAAAGTTAAGCTATGCATCCTAGGTAGCTGATATTTCTCCAGTGGCTTTGGATGTTGACCAGCATTTGGGGGACAGGGGAAGTAGTACAGCAAAGGTCCAAAAAAAGAGAGATTAGACAGAAAGAAATACATGGGGGTGTGGAGCCTGGCATCAAGGCATGACAAGATAATGATGGCTAAATTCCCAAGGAGGGTCATTATGTAGAAAACAGAGATGGCCAGAAAAAGAACCATTTCTAGTTTGGGCCATTCAGAGAAGCCCACCAGAACAAAGCCATCAGAGTGATGAAAAGTGTTACTGAATTTTCTCATTGCTTAACACTACTTGCTGGAAACACCACAGTCAGAATTTTGAAGCCTGATTATCCTTTGCTTAGAACTTAATGCTGGTTCATGAACTTACATGCAACAGAGGAACTGGATAGGGAATGTTGAAACAAGTAAAATCATTAATGTATTTCCTTTTATTACCTCAGCAAGAAAACTAAGAATTAGCAATTATATACCTGTATTTTAACAACCATATTTTAAGCCACGACTTTCATTTAGTAAGCTCATAGTTTACTAAGTAGAGGTATTACGAAAGTAAAGGTAGTATAGATGCATTACAAAATATTTGTTATAAAAAGGTCTTGGATCTGTTAAGATTGAGAGAAACAAAGACTTCACTGGAGCTTCATTAAATCTCTAATTTACTCAGTAAAAAAAATTTTTTTAAGAGTCTTAATTTGGAAAGACCTTTACAAAATGCAGAATCTAAACTCTAAGCAATAAAAACAAAACTACTGCCCTGAAATAAAAAAACCCACTCCAGAATGTTTCTTCCATCCATCTGTCCATCCACTATCCATCTATCAATCTAATATTTATTGTTCATTGGCCATGTCGGGGGTTTGCAGGATCTAAGGATGAAACAGTTTGAGCTTGCAGCCTACTAGGGAAGCTAAGACTCATAGATAAATAACTACAATAGAGGGCAGAATGTGGCAATATGGGGCATTTTTTCTCTCACCACAGTCATGCTGCCAATTACTAACTGTTGTAAAAAAAAAATCATCCTTTAAAACAGCAAAAATTGGGGAAAATGCAGGTACCACGATAAGGAAAATAAGTAAATTAACAGACATAAATTCAATGTGCTATTATAAAATGACTAAATGATAATTATGAAAAGATGGGAAATATTTTATTTTTTAGTGGGGAGAATGCATATTACAAACTAATCTATGATACAATTAAATACGGATATATTTATTCAATAAACACTAATTGAGCACTGACAAGGGGCAAGAACTCTCTTTTGTGCCAGGGAAAGAATGATACATAACCTTGGCCCTCAAGGGGCTCACATGTGGGGCGGAATCAGGAGAGAACTTAGAAAAGCATAAACAGGCAATGTGTTAAGGCAGTAGAGCCCATGGGAATAGTTTTCCTTAAAAATTTTCCTCCTTATAATTGCTAAAGTGCTATAGTTAAAATAAATAAAATCAGCAGGAAAATTTTTTTTTAAAAAGCAAGACAAAGTATCCGATTCTGTCAAATGTAAAAACGAGTTTAAAAACTAAAAGTGTTTCTGGGGTCCAGATTGTGTTCTTTAAATACCATTTCCCAGTAAAAGAACCAGGGTTACTTGGAGGAGTGGCTGATCACAGGTCTAGAGCAAGAAATCTACAAGATGAACCAGATAGCAAGGAACCTCATGAAACACCTAGAGCCACTGTCCCTAAGCTATGACATCATATGGCCCCCTTTCTGTGAAGGTGAACATGCAAACCTAACTCCAACCAGACTGTATCCTATGCAAGAGGTCTGGGAAGTGGAAGGCCAGCCCTTCCTCCCCTCTCACCAGGAAATCCACCTTATTACATTCGGAATAAAAGGTGAGATGACATTCTGGAAAACTAGATTATGAAGGGTCGACCTTCCTGCCTTTTCTGGGGGTGACTGGCCTCTCCCAGCCCCATCCTCCCCACCTCCAATGTTGCTTTTGGGTGCACCAGCTACGACTTCTACTTCAAGCAGCTGAATTTCTATGCCTCAGATGTCTCAGAAAACTCTACTTGCACTACCATATGCAACAAATATGCCTATGAGAGTGACTTTCAAACCTATCAACCAGAATTTATCCATTCAGATGCATCTTTCCCTATCAAATGAGTTGCACTTAGTCCAGCAACAGGGTCATCTGTCAAATCATCCTGGAACCCAAGTCATCTATCTACAATGGGTGAGCCACACAAGAACATGGGCCTGGTTGTTTAGAAGTTATGGCTTGTTGCCACCCAGGATCATCTAGCTTCAGAACTCACCTAATTCATCAGATCTGACAGTGAAGGATGGAAATTAACCACCACTGTGGCTATTGAAAAGAATAAGCTGAAGGGTCCAGAGGCAACATCCAAAAAAGGGGCTCCAGAAATGGTCTGTACAGTAGCAGAGCTCTAGGAGCGAGTGGGAAGCCTGCTGAGTAACCTTTCAATTAGCAGGATGCTCTCACTGGGAGGGCGAGTCTGGCCAATTTGGTGTTAGCCCACTCTACCACTTCTCATTGGGACTTACCTGAATACAAGCCCCTGTCTTCAACTTGCACAGGTTGCAGACTAAGGCCCACCGACTGGGCGGAATATGGGAGACCTTTGTGATTGGTTCCATCCTCTCAGGACAAGCAATGCTGACCTACAAATAAAACACCACCATAAGGCAGAAGGCACCAAGGCATTCCAGAAGTACCTTTCACAAACCATAAATGATATCACAAGAAGCTCAGAACATCAAAACAATGAGGTGAGCCATGTCTCCTAAGGTTACTATGGGACTTAGAATAAATAAAACCCGTCTCTAGCCACTGCTCAGGCCTTCAATCATTTCCAGTAATATAAATGATTCATATATAGGATGAGAGGGCAGGAGTAGAGACTAGGCATGGTTACCTTAATGAATCAAAGATATCTACACTTTACTTAGGAACCAAAGAAAGCTACTAAGGAAAGGAATTAAGATTCACAAAATCTAGCACCTCTCACATGTTTGAGATGGTGCCACATGCCTTGTGTTTTTTTCATTTAATACTGAATGATGAAAAACAGCGGCAGTGACATAGTATCATTGGAAAGTAGCAGCAATCTGTGTAATGAAGAGATTGCAGCACATAAGTAGAAAAGATGAGGATAACATTTTAAAACCAGTCTTTAAAATCACGCTATCACCAGATTACTCTATTCTTTCAGCCAAAGTAGCTTTAAAGTTAAATTAGTCTTTGAGAGAGTGCTGAAAGAGATGCTTTTTAAAAACACGGAACTTTTTTCCGTGTGAAAATAAGGGGTCAAGCAACTTCTGGTAAAAAGTGTTTTCTTTAAAAATACGTACATGAGTTTCTAAGAGAGAAATGACTTTGAAAAGTGAAGGACTGTTGAGTAAGGACATAAACTAGTACAAGTTCCACCCACATGGAGAAACCAACAGTAGAAAGATCAGAGACATCTAGAAAAGCCCCCAAAGTACTAGAAATCAGGTATTAGAAACCATAAGAGAATGTCAACAGGTGAGAAAGCTTCTTTTAATTTTAAAGAACTCTTCCTGAGTCATGTTCCAGACTTTTAATATTCTGAAAAAGCCTGCTTTATTAGCTGGGGAATTTGCTGCTAGAAATTAGTGATTCTCAGGCCAGAAACCTCAGAGTTCATTTCACATGTCTATTAGCTGGATGTTCTCAGTAAGAAAAAGAAACCACTACTCAAATTAAAAAAACAAACTGACTTCTATATCCATAAGAATACCATAGTATGTACCTAGAACTTTCAGTTTAACTTTGTGAGCTCGACTGCTAGACAGGTTAGACGTTAACAAGAATAAAGGCAGGCAAGTTTTAAAGGAAGAATGAATTTCTGATACAGTATCATCAGCTCCCAATAAACTGAATTCTGCAGTCTCTCTTGTTCTGCACTTAAAAGGCTAACAAATTTGCTGGCTTGGATAGGGTTTGGGGAGAGAGAATGTGAATGAGATGTCCAAACAGATTTTTTTTTTTTTAAAAAAAAAACGGGCAGCCATAGGGCTTCCCTGGTGGCGCAGTGGTTAAGAATCCGCCTGCCAATGCAGGAGACTCGGGTTCGGGCCCTGGTCCGGGAAGATCCCACATGCCGTGGAGCAACTAAGCCCGCGGGCCACAACTATTGAGCCTGTGCTCTAGAGACCGTGAGCCACAACTACGGAAGCCCATGCGCCTATAGCCCGTGCTCCACAACAAGAGAAGCCACCACAACGAGAAGCCTGCGCACTGCAACGAAGAGTAGCCCCCTGCTCTCTGCAACTAGAGAAAGCCCACGCACAACAATAAAGACCCAACACAGCCAAAAATAAAATAAATAAATTAAAAATAAATAAATAAATAGATAAAAATAAAAAGGGCAGCCATAAAAAGTAAGAAGTAATGTCTGGAAGCCCTCGGGAAATATCAGCAACTGAAGGACCAGATTAAATAGTGAGGGGTGGCATTCTGAATAAAGACACTCTTAAAAAATGGAATACTACTCAGCAATGGAAAGGCATGAACATTGACACACACTACAATATAGACTGCTAGCCAGACAGAAAAGAGTGCATACTGTATGATTCCATTTTTAGACAAAACGAAACTATAGTGATAGAAATCAAAATGGTAGTTACTCTTGGGTAATAGGGACCCAGATAAGGACTGGAAAGTAGGTGTGAGGGATCCTTCTGGGATGCTCTATGTCTACTTCTGGGATGTCCTATGTCTTGGTCTGGGTTGTGGTGACAGATACATACATGTGTAAAAACTTATGAAACTCAACACTTAAGATTTGGTATTTTTAAGGTAGGTTTTACCTTTAAAAAATCTGCTGCTCATACCCTCTCCTCTCATCCAAATTTATCCAATACCACTGGTAGTACCACCTATAAATTAATTAGCATGGGCTCACATGCCCACTTGCAAAAGAAGGATGTGAGGGAGGTCAAGTGGAACCATTGTCACCTCAGAAACCTGGGCAGGCATGAAGCATCTCCATGAAGCCTGAGTCAGTCTGAACGTTGTGGGAGAGCAAATGGCCTCACAGACCTGGATGAATTCTTACCTCTGGAATCCACAGGGCACAGCTGACGTGAGCCCATTTAGTCCCTGTCCTGGTGGTCTTCATGGCTCCACCTTTCTTTGGACATAACAGACATTGTGGATGAATGCCCAGGACACAGGAGCGACACAGCCAGCTGCCTTCTGGGACCTTGAGGATGCCGTAGCAGGCCTGGAGGCACGAGGAGGAGAGGGGGGTAATGGTTAGCATCTTCTCACGGGGTCAATGTCTGCTCCGGTACACAGTCACAGAGTACCCTCCACTTTTAGGAGAAAGAGGCAAATAAGGCCAAACGAGCTCATATCCAGGATTTAGTAATTTTAAAACACTCAAAAAAAAAAAAAAGCAACTTCTAGCATCTGTTTTAAGGTCAGCATGTCTGTCTATGAGAATTAACTTTAAGGACGATAGAGTAAGACTAGAAGGAAATACACGCAAAGGTTAGCCCAACTGTTATCTGAGTTTTGTGATTACGTATTTTTTTTTGCCTCCGTTTTCTAAAGCTTTCTCAATGATTATGTATTATAATTAGTCAGTCATATACTCACTGAACAACTTCTACATGTCATGCACTGCTGTGATCAAGAAAAAAGTGTTAAGAAATAAGCAGAATGAAACTTCTGAGGAGCAAATGAGCTGATGTTAAAGAGCCTAACGGTGCCTGCTGCATAAAAAGCACTCTCAGGAAACTGTAGCAGTTACTTGCTTGAGTTGAAGAAAAAGGGACTTACGAATGGATCCTGAATTGAACAGAATATTAGACTAATCACAATAGTCCATAATGAGTTCTTGAAGCTACTTCAAATTCCTTACAGAATGAAGTCGGACAAATAAATAAATGAATTACTATTGGAGGTGCAAGGAGGGAGATTAGTTTGGAAATATTTTAGATTTCCTTTTCACTATCTCTAATTTCGCCCATCCTTCCCCCCTTACTGCTCTACTCTCACCATTAGAGACTATAGCTGGGGGTCACCTGGCTCCCCATGTGGCCTAGCATACCTTCACTACTGACTGATTCACCACCGCAGCTTCAAAGTCTGTGCCTGCCCCAGAAAGTTCACCCACACCTCAGATTCCAGTTCCAACAGTCACCATCACGTTACCCCCGCAACTGGCCCCCTTTCCAAACTCTCTCTATCCATATCACCACCATGCTTCGCAGCTTCCAGATCCAAATTCCTTGACTCTTATTATCCACTTTCCTTCATCTACTGTCCCTTGGGCTTGCTACTAATCCCTACGGAGTGGTCACTAGACTCTGACCTTCCTCTCCATCCCCACCACAACTGCTCCAAACAAGTCATGCCTGGATTGATTTATTTCTAAATTCTCTTCCTCTCCCTTCATACCTTCAATCCTTCTTCTATTTGGCTGCCATATTCTTCTTACTAAAACAAAGACTTCATACCATTGCACAGCAATAAACCCTCTAAAAACCCCTTCTGCTCCCACCCCCAACCCCATCTAAAACCAGGGGCCTACTTCTTGAGACGTGTTTTGTAAGGCCAACAAGCTAAGAATGGTTTCCATATTTTTAAAGGGATGTTAAAAGAAAGAAGAATATGTAACAGGGACTATATGTGGTCCTCAAAGTCTAAAATATTTACTATCTGGCCCTTCAAAGAAAAAGCCTGCTGTTCTTCACCTCAATTCTCAGATCACTGTAGCCCCTGTGTCTGCTCCACTTCCTGACTCCCACCCTCCACTCAACGTCGTTTCCCTCACCAGGTACTTAGTTGACATCATGTATGCTTCTCTACTTTAACTGTTATGTTTCATCTCCTCAGTGATACTGTAAGGTCACTGGGGGTAGGTCCTTTACCATCAATTTATCTGGAAGGTTCTCTACGCTGAGCTTGAGTAGGTGGTTTGGTTGAACAAATAAATTTCACTCAACAACTGAAGTTGGATTCCAACTAGGCTGCTGTCACAAAAGCAGGGCATCATTTTATAAGGTCCCTAACCTTCAAAGCTTTTTCTTTCTCTGAGATTCAGAAAGTCTGCAAGGAAATGAAAGCAAGCTTTCTCCCTAAAACAGAGCCTCTTTCAGACCAGCAGAAGAAAAACCAGAAGCTGGTTCTAGCAATACCCTTTATCACCTGGCCATTTTATTGGGTAGAAAATCATTTACTGAGCTCTTCTGTAGACTTATTCCTGGTCATAAGATCATAGAAGCTTGTATTTCATTGTAGTGTTGTAGTGGCTCTCAACTTTTTCTAGACCACAAAATGACGAAGGCTGGACTGCATTTTTTTTAAAAAAACTGCACACATGCACGAACATATGTTTTACATATAATTTCAAGGGGTTAATAAATTTAGTGCTAAACATTATATATATGACAGGTATAAAAACTATGAGCATGTACCTTCAGGCAAATTAATTTAGGCCTCAGTTTGAGTGTTCAATACATGGGCTAAGAAGCAGAAAATGGAATACATTAAGGGCCTTGGAATGGTCCCAATTTTCACAGTTTTTCATGAAAAAATTTAATTATTAAAATCCAACATCTATTGATGTAAAATAAACCTCTCTTCTAAAGTACGGACCGTAAGTGTATTATAGTCACAGAGGAACAAACAGTTGATATAATATGGTAGTTAAAGAAGAAAAATTATGTTTAATAAATATAATTGTCAACATGTCCCCAATTCTGTTGAGTAAACCAAATCTTCCAAATCATTTAAAGTCACTTTTCAGTCAACAGAGGGAGCTCTAACCTAAGTATCTCTTTAGAATTCAAGTGAACGTACTCACTTCGGAAGAATTCTCTTTTATATGAAACTTTATGTGGCATCAACGTCCAGCTTTAACACATACCAGCTTATATTCTGCAAGGCCTGGTCAGGTGTTATTGTCATTTCTTTCTATGTGAGGAAAGGGCACCATTTATAGTCATTACTGGATATGTTTTCAAAGCAAAATATCTTTAAGGAGAATTATTATGCTACATTTCATTTTGTTAGTTAAAGAACCTGGAAGTAATTCATTAATATTTTGTCCCAACTGTGAAGGACAAATACAGAAAATATATACAGATGACCTCAGTACTATTACCTTCAATTCTACTAAAGATCCACAATCATTTATCTGAAAACTCTAGGGTAAGAAACATCAGGAAATTCAGAATTGTTCATATCTTAGGAAAGTGATACAGTATATACATGGCATATTACCTATGGGACCAGGGCAGTGCCATATAATCAAATACATTAATATTTCTCTAACAAAATATATGAGTATTTTCACAAAATGGAATAAAGACTACAAATAGCCTCATACGGGGTGAGTTCTGCTACTGCCCTCAAATCAGTTTTGGTGCCAAACTTCGGTAAAAACTTGTAGTTTTCAGAGCTTTAAAATTTTGGAAATGCATAGAAGGGACTGTGGACCTGTACTGTCAGATATTTAAGTTCGTACTTAAGTAGTAAAGATTTTCTCTGTCACTAAAGGTGAGACATAAATGCCAGTAACTGGTAGAGTGAATATACATTTTCAAAATTCACTCTAAAAGGATACAAGTAAAAGGAAGAAAGAGACCCAACTGATCACAGAATATTCTGAGTACCTTTTAATACAGAGGGTTAGGTTAGGTGGCCCATGGAACTAAAATAAAGTCTTAAGTCCTGGTTTCTCTCTATCTCCTGTATTATCTAATCATTTTAATATCTTTGTAGTCAGGATGATCCTTCTAAATTACAAATCATATCCTTCAGGGTTGACAGGACAAAACCGAAGTTCCTTAGTTTGTCAGAGAAGGCCCTTCACATTTGTCCCCTGTATCCCTCTCTACCCTCACTCTCCATGCATTCCCTACTCGACCCCACCACTCTCCACAGTTCTGAACAGCTCAGAGTTGCTTCTAACATACTTTGCCTACTCTCACTACCCCACCTGAACATGTTCTCCTCTCTGCCTGAACACACGCTGCTGTTTTTTTCTGGCACTTCCCTTTGGCCATTAAGATTCAGCTTGGATGCCACCTTCTGGATGGTATCCCTGACCCCCATCCCTCCCATGCACTTCCACAGCAGCATGGACTTCAATCTACAAAAACACTTGGCATACTATGCTAAATGGGCAGTTTCCTTGTAGACCCTACACCAGATTCTGATCTCCCTGGGGGCAAAGACCATGTCTGCCTCTTCATCACTGTATCTTCAGCATGCAGCACAGTCCTGGAACATGGATGGTGTTGCATACCTATTTACTAGATAAATTAATGAAATGAATGAAACACACAACAGGTTCAGAAGAGTGAAAAATCACTTAGGGTAAGGGAGTTCAAGAAAGGATTCGAACTAGATCTTGAAAGATATGTAAAGTTTTGTTAGCCGGAGGTGGGAGAAGGCATTTTAAATTGGTGTGGCTGAAACATGGAGACAGGACAGCATCAGGAATATTCATCACTGCCCCACTGAGTAACCTTATTTTGCTAGAGCATAGGGCTTGTGGGGGAAGAAAAGGAAAGAGCTGAAAAGAATGTGGATATCACCATCATCATTACTATTAATTTAAAAAAGTAGTGTGGTAGAGAAAGAATGACAACTAGCTATAAGAGGTTGGGTAAAGTCACTTCACCTCTCCTGGTATTATCTGTAAAATTAAGGAGTGGGACGGTTTTTTACAATCCTAAAATTCTATGATGTTTAAAAATGGAGTAGACCTAGTTTCCTGGGAGTGGTATATTTGGGAGACAGAGGAGGGCTCTGGGTGCCAGGATGAGGAGTCCCGACTTCCAGCTGTAGGAAGTGTAAACTCCCCACGGTTACTGACCATGGGTGTAACCTGATGATATAACAGGGACTCCAAGGCAGAGGAGAGACTCCCAGGCAGGTAGCAAGGAGACTCCCCAGGGGACTGTAAAAGTATCGAACAAGGCAATCTCAATGGCATGGGCATGAAGATACACAATAAAGACCTGGGTTTAGCCCCCTGGAGTAAAGTTAATAAGTCACCTTGGGGATCATAAGAAGTATTATTTCTAAAGGAATTACTGGAGAACAGCCAGGCCAAATCCTTATTTTCACCCTTAAATGCAAGCTGCTACCCAGATATGGGTGCTGGAGATGATCACTGAACTTCAGAAAGGCTGACCGTGGGGAGGTGGCGGTCTCCACTCTCACTAACCTGATGCACACAGATGTTACACTTATCACAGAACACCATATCATTCCCTTCTTCACTGTCTGGAGACCGGCACACATCACAGATCACATCTTCATCATACTCTATGCCTAGCCCTTCCTCTGTCTCAATAGCATGGTTCATATTTTCATGGCAATGGCGTTCCAGGACTTCTACTGTCTTTTCCATAAGATTCTCATCAACTGGCCCACAACCTGCACAGAAATACAAACAATCAATCAACCCATCAGTCAGCTGTCATTCCCAAATCACCTACTGTGAGCCCGGTGCAGGGGTGGGGAGATTCTAAAGAATAAAACCATCTCTTCCCTGATCTAAAACAACCAGATTTTAAAGAATCTTTTACTAGAGCTCTTCTAAAATTTACCTATCATCACATATTAGTGTTTGACACATGAAAGGAGAAATACATTTCACCATATTCTTTGTAAGTTATATATACTGACCCTTTCAATTTTCTGTCCAAATCCTAGCCAGTCTCCTCCTAAATCTGTTTCTCTCTCTCTCTCTCTCTCTCTTTTTTGTGGCTGCGCCATGAGGCTTGTAGGATCTCAGTTCACTGAACAGGGATTGAACCTGGAAAGCCCGGAATCCTAACCACTAGGCAACCAGGGAACTCCCCCGAATCTGTTTTCTCTTATTCCCACTGAGGGAGGACTTTCATTGGACTTTGTAATCTTGAACACTTTATAGTATAATAAAATAATTAGAATCATATAACTATTTGGATATAAATAACAATTCATTCTTAGCAAATTAGTTCCAATGAGCACATCTAATGGTTACACAAGGAAAATTTCATACAAAAAGGTATTAAGCCATAAAAGAAAATTCTAGGTACTGTATATGTGATTATACATATGAAATATTTGTTATTTGTTTTTCAAACCTGACTTTTAGAAAATCCAATAATATTTTCTAATGACAAACTAAAATATAAAGTAAACTTATTAGCATTCATAAAGGTCTAACTGCAAATTCTGAAATTACCTTTTTTGCCTCTTGATTCCTTTTCCTTCTATACTTTTAATTTTTCTTAGCCTTCTATACATAATAACTCAACTAAAAGATTCATATGATGGCTATTGGTAACAACTAAACATTTTTCTTCTTAGGGGGACTGATGATTTTGTGAGAGCACACATATATTTATTCTAACAGCTTATAAACTCAGGAGTACTTCTCAAAGTGATCCAAAACAAATTTATCCAAATATACCACTTCATCTGCAATATAAGATCCTAAGGAACTTTGGAATTCCACATAAACTACCTTTTCAATGTTGTTGCTACTTATGAAACCAAAAACTACTCAGGTAGTATGTTTAATTTTTCCAGCCAAGACAAATTACACTTTTTTTTCCCCTGGAGTGAAGGAGTATAGTGTCTGGTTATAAGAGCACTTGGATTCAAATTCCAACTTGACCTCACATTGGTTATATAAGCTTTGACAAGTTATTTACCCTCTTTAGGGCTTAGCTTCCTTATCTATAAAAATAAGGATAATAATACCAAACTCATTGATTTCTTGTGAGGCAGAGATGAGATCATGTTCATACATTGCTTAGTATAGTGACTGGTATGCAGTAAGCACTCAACTTTTAGAATTCCTTAATCTGAATAAAAAACATGCTTAAGATAATATTGTTTTTGAAAGTTTATTTTAAGCTCTTAGAACCTTACTACAATATCATTCACTCTAAAGGAATGCTGGAGATAAGGTAATCATCTTTTTAAAACTCATCCAAGCCTAAATGCAATGTGGTATCCTAGACGGGATCCTGGAACAGAAAAAGGTCATTAGTGGAAAAACTGGTGAAATTCCAATAAAGTCTGGAACTTAGCTAATAGTACTGTACCTGTGCTGTTTTCTTAGCTTTGACAGATGTATCATGGTAAAGTGAGATGTTAACATTAGACGAAACAAACTGCGTGAGGCGTATATGGTAACTGTATTAAAACTGCAACTTTTCTTGAAAGCTAAAACTATTTCAAAAATTTTTTTGAAAGCTTATTTAAAAAAAACTCATCCAAAGGGAATTAACTGCAAAATACCAAAGGGACTTTGTTATAAGGCAGTGTCATGTTGAAGGCAGCACTGTAATGACTATAGTGTATATGGATGTTGTATGGTTCATAAACACAACTGTACATTGAGCCATCGATCCACTTGATTATGCCCTCATACTCTCATTTTCCCTTTCTGTCAGTCTTTTATTCCCTTCTCTTTGTGGTTCCGACCCTAAATTTTTTTGACCCCTCTCCTTCCTCTTAGAAGGCAGAACAAGAGAAGACATAAAACAAAATGTTTTAAAAAGCAAGGAGTTAGTATTGGTTACTGGCAGAGTAACTATCACCACCATGCCAAACTGGATTTAGTATAATTTTAATTTTGTATTCACATGCATTCAGATACCAACCTCAAAAGAAAGAAAGAAAAAAAAGGGAAGAAAAGGAAAACCACTGATCCTTGTTGTACTAACAATGAACAAATGTGATTCAAACAAAAACAAAATCAAATGTATCCTTTACCATATCTCATACAGAGAGTTAAAAACCACCCAGTTTCACAGGACCACTTGGACCTAAACACTGTTTAGACTGAAAACAGGTCAAAAAGAACTGTGTGTAAGTATAAGGTGAGTTTCCTTTCAGCCTAGGGTTTCTGAGCATTGCCGGTATGGTACTGTATGGCACACGTTTACTTTAAAATTACTACTATGTTTACTACGAGGTTTTTTATTTGCTTGTTTTTGCTTCATTCTATTCTATTTTTTGAGAGTAGCATGACAACTCTAGAACTCACTGTAGGTAGCTAAGAACTGCTTTGGGGATGTTTTGCCCTAGGCCTGCCATTCTTCTTCCAGGCAGCAAAATACAAGTCCTACATTAAGGCATCCTGGTCACATCAACCTGTCAGTTGCAGTGGTGCTGCCTAATGCTAAAGTTGCAGTTTCTCTCCATCAGGTGGAGATGTCAGAGGTGCCACTACCCTTGGCCCTGCTCACTGATCATGGTACTTTTCAGGGCCGAACGAGCAACCAGTCTCAGAATCCTTCTCAACCAGAAGTCCAATCAGCCATGACCAATCTCACACTCAGAACTGGGAAATGGCCTTGTGAAACCTACATGCCATCCCTGATCTGTGATATTCACCATGAACAGGGAAAGACAAGGTCAGATTTAAATGTTACTGCTCTACTTCAATATATTTATGCATTTCAGGAAATGCCTCATTAAGATTAAGATTAAAGAGAAAAATAAATGAAGAGTCCAGAAAAGAAAGGAAGCCACAAAATGAAAGCAAGTTAAAATGGTCCTGACACCTTTTTTAAAAAATCACAAATCAAGTCAAGGAACAAGTTACTTGTGAGGAAACAACTTACCCATTTCTGCGAGGTCTTCATTGAGTTCCTGGAGCCAGAAGATGTCCATGTCATCTAGGTCATAGCGGCACACAGATGCCGCCAGCTCCATGATGTTGATGTAGCCAGGCTCTGCAGTCTCTGGGCTGGAGCAGTGGATGTACTTCCGGGGTCGGATAAATAGGACCTCCTTTACCTTGTCGGCTACAATCCTAGAAAAGCAAAAGAAAGACACTGATAACAATCAACAAATGACAGATTCCAGGCACTGGCTGGATGGGCCCAACAGCACTCAGGCCATACAGTGGAGCTGAATGTTCTCCCTTCCCACCCTGGGGAAATCCCCTGCTCCGCCAAATGAGAGGCATGACAGATCCCTTTCTAGAAAGTAAATGGTTGTACAAATCCAGCTTTGTTATTTGCTGTGAATACTCTGACTGCTAATAAAATGTTTCATTTACGCTTTTGGCTCCTAGGCCCTTACTTCCATTCCTTCTAATAAAATATTGCATTGTGCATTCTTGGTGCAATGGCCACCACATTTATTTAGAAGGGGAACCAGAAGAAGGGGTGATACCTGTACAAAGGCACAGCCGGATTACATACCAAAGATATAGTTTAGCTAAACTCATGATTTTCTACCATGGAGGCCATACTGGATGGTGGTAAAGAGTATAGGCTATAGACTCACACAAACCAGTCTTTTACTGCCACTCACTCGCATGGTGATCTTGGGCAATTACTTAATGTCTACAAAGTTCAGTTTTCTCAGCTAAAAAGGACGATAATCATAAATTATGATATAATAGTATCAAACTTATAGGGTTATTATGATGATTATATGAAATAAAATACATAAAGTGCTTAGTAAAGTGTATAGTAAAAAACAGATGATCAATAATGCCAGTGTCGGGCTTCCCTGGTGGCACGGTGGTTGAGAGTCTGCCTGCTGATGCAGGGGACACGGGTTCATGCCCCAGTCCGGGAAGATCCCACATGCCGTGGAGCGGCTGGGCCCGTGAGCCATGGCCGCTGAGCCTGCGCGTCCGGAGCCTGTGCTCCACAATGGGAGAGGCCACAACAGTGAGAGGCCCGCGTACAGCAAAAAAAAAAAAAAAAAAAAAAAAAAAAGCCAGTGTTATTTTTATATCTCTTATTATTTTTACTATTTAGGTAGATGAGTTAAAGCCAAGAGGCCATGGATTTATACAAACTTAAGCCATTTCCCAACCATAAATGATAGTGACTATAAGTCTGAGTCAGGAAAACACAATGGGATGAAAGATTCCCATTCTTCCACCAAATTATCTAGCAGGCCTGAGCAAACCCATTATTTTCCCAAACCCCTCCTGACACTTAAGAGCCCAAGGCAAGGAAACCAAGCAAGGGAAGAAACAGAAATTTCTCATACCAATGACTCGTTCTACAATGAATGTTCTAGATAGTACATGAAGCATCAGAAAATGTAACCAAGACGAAATCTGAATTATTAGTCCCTGGAAATTTTAAAGAACAGGGTAGGCCATCTAAAAAAGAGAGAAAGGGGGTAATCCGAGAGGAAATCAAAAAATACCTAGAAACAAATGACAATGAAAACACGACAACCCAAAACCTATGGGATGCAGCAAAAGCAGTGCTAAGACGGAAGTTTACAGCAATACAATTCTACCTCAAGAAACAAGAAACATCTCAAATAAACAACCTAACCTTACACCTAAAGAAATGAGAGAAAGAAGAACAAAACTTCCCCAAAGTTAGCAGAAGGAAAGAAATCATAAAGATCAGATCAGAAATAAATGAAAAAGAAATGAAGGAAACAATACCTAAGATCAATAAAACTAAAAGCTGGTTCTTTGAGAAGATAAACAAAATTGATAAACCATTAGCCAGACTCATCAAGAAAAAAGGGAAAGGACTCAAATCAGTAGAATTAGAAATGAAAAGGGAGAAGTAACAACTGACACTGCAGAAATACAAAGGATCATGACAGATTACTACAAGCAACTCTATGCCAATAAAATGGACAACCTGGAAGAAATGCACACATTCTTAGAAAAGCACAACCTGTCAAGACTGAACCAGGAAGAAATAGAAAATATAAACAGACCGATCACAAGCACTGAAACTGAGACTGCGATTAAAAATCTTCCAACAAACAAAAGCCCAGGACCAGATGGCTTCACAGGTGAATTCTGGCAAACATTTAGAGAAGAGCAAACACCTATCCTTCTCAAACTCTTCCAAAATATAGCAGAGGGAGGAACAGTCCCAAACTCATTCTACGAGGCTACCATCACCCTGATACCTAAACCAGACAAAGACATCATAAAGAAAGAAAACTACAGGCCAATAACACTGATGAACAGAGATGCAAAAATCCTCAACAAAATACTAGCAAACAGAATCCAACAGCACATTAAAAGGATCATATACCATGATCAAGTGGGGTTTATCCCAGGAATGCAAGGATTCTTTAATATATGCAAATCAATCAATGTGATACACCATATTAAGAAATCGAAGGATAAAAACCATACGATCATCTCAACAGATGCAGAAAAAGCTTTCGACAAATTTCAACACCGATTTATGATAAAAACCCTGCAGAAAGTAGGCATAGAGGGAACTTTCCTCAACATAATAAAGGCCATATATGACAAACCCAGAGCCAACATCGTCCTCAATGGTGAAAAACTGAAACCATTTCCACTAAGATCAGGAACAAGACAAGGTTGCCCACTCTCACCACTATCATTCAACATAGTTTTGCAAGTTTTAGCCACAGCCATCAGAGAAGAAAAAGAAATAAAAGGAATCCAAATCAGAAAAGAAGAAGTAAAGCTGTCACTGTTTGCAGATGACAAGATGCTAAACATAGAGAACACTAAAGACTCTACCAGAAAACTACTAGAGCTAATCAATGAATGTGATAAAGTTGCAGGATACAAAATTAATGCACAGAAATCTCTCACATTCCTATACACTAATGTTGAAAAATCTGAAAAAAGAAATTAAGGAAACACTCCCATTTACCACTGCAACAAAAAGAATAAAAAACCTAGGAATAAACCTACCTAAGGAGACAAAAGACCCGTATGCAGAAAACTATAAGACATGGATGAAAGAAATTAAAGATGATACAAATAGATGGAGAAATATACCATGTTCTTGGATTGGAAGAATCAACATTGTGAAAATGACTATACCACCCAAAGCAGTCTACAGATTCAATGCAATCCCTATCAAACTACCACTGGCATTTTTCACAGAACTAGAACAAAAAATTTCACAATTGTGTATGGAAACACAAAAGACCCCAAACAGCCAAAGCAATCTTGAGATAGAAAAACAGAGCTGGAGGGATCAGGCTGCCAGACTTCAGACTATACTACAAAGCTACAGTAATCAAGACAGTATGGTACTGGCACAAAAACAGACATATAGATCAATGCAACAGTATAGAAAGCCCAGAGATACACCCACGCATCTATGGTCACCTTATCTTTGATAAAGGAGGCAAAAATATACAGTGGAGAAAAGACAGCCTCTTCAATAAGTGGTGCTGGGAAAACGGGACAGCTACAGGTAAAAGAATGAAATTAGAATACTCCCTAATACCATACACAAAAATAAACTCAAAATGGATTAGAGACCTAAATGTAAGGCCAGACACTATCAAACTCTTAGAGGAAAACATAGGCAGAACACTCTATGACATAAATCACAGCAAGATCCTTTTTGACCCACCTCCTAGAGAAATGGAAATAAAAGCAAAAATAAACAAATGGGACCTAATGAAACTTCAAAAAATTTGCACAGCAAAGGAAACCATAAACAGGACAAAAAGACAACCCTCAGAATTGGAGAAAATATTTGCAAATGAAGCAACTGACAAAGGATTAATCTCCAAAATATACAAGCAGCTCATGCAGCTCAATATCAAAAAAAACAAACAAGGCAATCCAAAAATGGGCAGAAGACCTAACTAGACATTTCTCCAGAGAAGATATACAGATTGCCAACAAACACATGAAAGAATGCTCAACATCACTAATCATTAGAGAAATGCAAATCAAAACTACAATGAGATATCATCTCACACTGGTCAGAATGGCCATCATCAAAACATCTACAAACAATAAATGCTGGAGAGGGTGTGAAGAAAAGGGAACCCTCTTGCACTGTTGGTGGGAATGTAAATGGATACAGCCATTATGGAGAACTGTATGGAGGTTCCTTAAAAACTAGAACTGCCATATGACCCAGCAATCCCACTACTGGGCATATAACCTGAGAAAAACATAATTCATAAAGAGTCATGTACCACAATGTTCATTGCAGCTCTATTTACAATAGCCAATACATGGAAGCAACCTAAGTGTCCATCGACAGATGAATGGATAAAGAAGATGTGGCACATATATACAATGGAATATTACTCAGCCATGAAAAGAAACGAAATTGAGTTATTCGTAGTGAGGTGGATGGACCTAGAGTCTGTCATACAGAGTGAAGTAAGTCATAAAGAGAAAAACAAACACCATATGCTAACACATACATATGGAACCTAAAAAAAGAAAAAGAAAGAAAAAAGATTCTGAAGAACCTAGGGGCAGGACAGGAATAAAGATGCAGACGTAGAAAATGGACGTGAGGACGTGGGGAGGGGGAAGGGTAAGCTGGGATGAAGTGAGAGAGTGGCATAGACTTACGTATACTACCAAATGTAAAACAGATAGCTAATGGGAAGCAGCCGTATAGCACAGGGAGATCAGCTCAGTGCTTTGTGACCCCCTAGAGGGGTGGGATAGGGAGGGTGGGAGGGAGATTCAAGAGGGAGGAGATATGGGGATATATGTATTTGTATAGCTGATTCACTTTGTTATAAAACAGAAACTAACACACCATTGTAAAGCAATTATACTCCAATAAAGATGTTAAAAAATTATAATAAAAAAGAGAAAGGGACTTCCCTGGTGGCACAGTGGTTAAGAATCCACCTGCCAATGCAGGGGACATGGGTTCGAGCCCTGGTCTGGGAAGATCCCACATGCCGTGGAGCAACTAAGCCCGTGCGCCACATCTACTGTGCCTGCCTCTAGAGCCTGTGAGCCACAACTACTGATTCCGTATGCCACAGCTACTGAAGCCCGCGTGCCTAGAACCTGTGGTCCGCAACAAAGAGAAGCCACCACAATGAGAAGTCCGCGCA